CATGCCTTGCGACTTATAGGCCAAAGCTACATATTTATGGATTTTTTCCCATATTTATAAACCATTTTTTGGTTAAGATATGACGGTTTTCATTTATTCTGACTGAAAAAAAAAAGAATAGTACCACTTTCAGCCACTTGATGGTAGCAGAGTAATTTAACAGAACGGCATGCTGTTGTATCATGTAATAGGTAAACATGGCTATAATGACAAGTTCAAAAAAGTTCAAGACAAAAACAACTGGACTTTATTTATTATACTATACTTTATATGTTGTTGTTTTTGTCTTGAACTTTTTTGAATTTACCATGTCTGGAATGACTGAGAATCTTCACCAGATGATTCATTCATTCATTTAATGACTCAATCGGCCTGCCACAGTGTCCCCACCTTCATTCTGCTCGCTGCTTGGAACCGTCAAAACAGCTGCACCGCCCCGGCGAAATGCAGCTAATTTGACCATTAAAGTGCATTTTTAAGCAAATGTTAGACTGACACACACCTTTGCTCTACTTTCAAGCAAACAAATAATTGTTTAGGTGCTTCACTTGTTAAATTTCGGATAAACGAGCCGCGTTCCTCCCTCCGTCTTCGCAGAACCTCAGCAGCTAAATTATTTCTGAAATTCAGCTGATTTGAACATTAAAGTGTATTTTTTAAGGAATATTTCAACTGAGACACACCTTTGCTATAATTTCGAGCACACGAATAATTGTTTTCAGGCCTTTTACTTGTTAAATTTGCACAGCGACTCGTCGCATGCACGTGTTTACTTCCGCATATCGGCTTTTGAAATACAGCTGATTTGACCATCAAAGTGCATTTGTAATGAGAGACACCGAGAGATGGATTTAGCTCAGGGGTGCTCTCTTCCATTTTATAATATCTGGACTAATTCAAGTACCTAATATTATACTTAATTTAAACGGATTCTTTCATTTTTCTGGACTAAGTAATATCGTGCCTAGAAGATTAAATGTGGACAAAGACGTGTTTAAATTTCTGACCCACCAACAACAGTGCGGTCTTTTATTTATCAAAACGATTTAAACACATCACACATTTTACACATTGATTGGTATAACTGATTACAATAACACAGCTTAATTAATGAGCTTTACAATGAGAAATCATACGGCCATGATTCCTCACTTGCAGCTTGAAACAACAGACATATCCTTAGATCTTAAATTAATGTCTGCAGGCTTTTAGCTTATCTTTACTGGCAGGGAAATATAGAGATGGAGTAAACTTTAAGAAGGAAAAGTGGATACTTAGGGTTAACTAAGATAATAAAGAAAAGATGGGGAGTTATCTTGTTTGAAACCAGATAGCACGTTTCCCGGTGATTTCAGCTTGATGGTACCCGAGCGTTGACTCTTTACCTTGGTGGGGTTTCAGAGAGGCCTTCTCCTGACGTCCAGCAAGGCTGAGTCTTTTTATCTCCAGGGATTTGTATCCGCTTCTCATCAACTTGGGACCACGAGGCTGCCTGACCCAGCTTCCAAAATAAACTCCCCCGAAAGATAGGATTAAGTTAAGTGGAATTTCAGCAAACGTGCTGAACTCCTGAGATGTTGAATAGGTCTTTGGCGTGATGACCTGAACCAACACTCCAGACAGGTGTCATCTCTCAGAAAATGACCACCGTGGACTTCACCCTTGCAAAGTCACACTCGTCTTCCTTCTCAGCAGAACTCACTGTAACCTCTCAAAGCAAAGCGTTTTACACTCCTGCTCCAAGGTTACTGAGAATTGTTTTGGGGTTAGTGAAAGAAAATAGCAGAGGATAGACGCCAGTGTTTTCTGATTACTGAATATTTCGTCTGCACAGAGAATCAACACTCCAGACACAGAAGACATTGTCCTGTCCTTGAACTTCTGAGCGACATTCACTTACACTTTCTTATAAGAAGTCTAAATGAGATTTAAAAATCATTACTCACTTAAAAATGTCGTAGCATAATCACAGAGAAAAAGACACAGAAATGAAATTACTGATTTTCCTCTTTTCTTATTCATTCATGAATCATAACACATTGATTAGAATGTCTGATTAAATGACTTATGAATAAATGACTTATGATTAAATGACTTGAGTCAATTGAAAGTTCTCTTAAAGAGATGATTTTGTGTCCAGGATCCAGAACGATGAACCAGCAGTCCACTGTTCATCCTGGGGGTTTCACAAGCAAACTGTGGAGGACTTCAAGTGGAGGTTGGATCACTACACATTTATTAAGTAAATGTTAGAATGAGACACACATTCAGTATAATTTTGAGCAAACAAATAATTGTTTTTAGGTGTTAATCTTGTTAAATTCTTGTTATAGTCCTCCCGTGCATGCTCCCGCGGCCGCCATTTGGCAGCCCATCAATTTTAGGCACAACACCGGTCCACATTTCCAGGTTGTCAACGGTTACGCGTAACAAACGCAATGTGTCAGCGGTGACGCATAATAGATGCGACGTATACGGCAAAGCGACATTTAGGAATTTTTCCACTTTATTAGACATATTTGTACTGATGCGACTTATAGGGCAGTGTGACGTGTATGGCAGAAATTACGGTATATATACAGCAAGCACATAGGTGTCACACACACATGAGCACACGCACACGTAAAAATAAAAAATGAAAAACTGAGATGCCACCTACATGTAAGACAGTCCCAGAAGGACAGACACACCCAGACAATGGCTTTCTGCAGCTTGACTGGGACAGTTGTTGGCCAGGGAGGTCCAGACTGGAACAGGTGAGAAGGCAGGAGCGTGGAGAGTAAACCAGAGAGTGGGGACATTGTTGTACTTTCTCACAGGATTCCTGGGTACAATTAAATAATCCCTGCTCACACACACTGAAAAGTAAAATAAAGTACAGTCAAGTTTACATAAACCATTTGCTGCATATGATCAAAGAATGCTTGCATAACACACATAAAATATGCTCGGTTTCACTGAGTGAAAACAATAATTCATTGTAACATTATCTCTTGTGCAACTGCAGCCTTGACACAGCTTTGTGTTGGCTCATAAAAGTTTACGATGCAATAATATATTTTCTTCTCTACAAATGTGCTTAGACGTCATGACAATCATTTCCCTGTACACACAAGCCAAAGTTTGTAATGCAAAGTGTTAAATGTATATTTTACGTCTATTCTAAATGGCTAATTATTTACAATGTTATATTGTATATCGGTGTAATAATTAGCCATTTCCACGTATAACGGGT